GATGGGCACGTGCACTTTTTGGGACAGCTTGATAGTGCGCTGCTGGTAGACATCGGCGTACTGGTCTCTCGTGGGAATGCGTCCGTTCAGCTGCACACGCTCCAGAGCTGCAAAAACAGAGCAAAATCAGAGTAATTACCATGAAGTGCCCCGGACAAATCAATTTACCTTCGTCAATTAGCTTCACCGCCAGGGGGAAGTGGTTTTCCATGCGCGATCGCTCCGTCATGAGCTCCTGCATGTACTTCTGGACCGCCGGCGCCGGCTGGGCCTTCTCGCCGTCTGCATTGGCATTGTGTTCGTTCTCATGCTCCCCGTTGCTCGTCCCGCCGCTGCCGCCGGTGGGCACCACTCCTGTCCCGGCCCCTGCCGAACCCGATGCTGATCCACCGCCGACTCCCGTCGCCGTGGAAGCCACCGCAGAGGCCACCGCGGATGACCCTGGCACGCGCAGTCCGTTCTCCGCCATTTGTCGTCCTGCCTTCGGGATCGCTGTCGCTCTATCGTCCTGCTAAGTCGCCGAGTCTCGGATTTTCCGTGCGCGGATTGCGGGCGATTGCGTTTGCTGTCGATTCGGTATGATTGCCAAGTTAGCACACTTCAGCCTTCCCAGTGGCCCTAATTTTTCTCTCTTTTTCCAAGTGTGTATTTTATTCGGACATTTACTATGTTAACGGCGCGGTCCGGCAACTCCGGTCTCTCGGGCTGGCTCTCGTGCTTTTGCAGCGTGCTGTTGGTTGCCTATCGACGGTGCTGTTAAGCGCGCACTATCGATAACGCTATCGATACACTATCTTTGCAGACACTTGCAAACGCTAGATATCAACAGAAGAGATGAGTCAGGTGTCTAGTCATAATTGTTTTTATATGCATTTTATGATTTAAATTGAAAATGTAATTGAAATGCTACCTTAGTTATGGGAAGGTTTTAAATGAATTTAATATGACAAAACCTGCGGCTGTACATGATGGCGGTATGTTATCGATAATACCCGATAATACTTTATCGAATCCGTGATGCCGATCTATCTATCGATGTCCTACCACATACATACTTTTTCAGCCAACTAATTCTGCAAGAGTGGAATTTTGTATTCAATAGTAGGACTTTTAGAATTTACGAATCCTCAAGGCCAGAAATCGCCTAAACCGCAATGCCGCGCGACTACGATAGAGACTACAACGAGGACGCCGCCGACTACAAGCGGAAGCGACGTGACGAGGAGCCAGCGGCTACCGGTGCTCCAGAGACTCCTGAGGCGGATGGCGGCGGACACACCACAAGCCACGCCACCCTACGGGACACGCCCCAGCTAAATGAGAAGACCAATGCGTATCTGCAGGAGTGCCTGCTGGAAAAGAAGACGCTCGAGAAGAAGCACATCATCACCAAGCGTCTGCTTGACGACGGTGAGTTCGGAACAGCGACTTTTTAGCTATACTGGATCTAATTTCAATTTTTCACGGGCCCACAGAGGTGGAAAAGATCTTGGTCAGCGGCCGCATACCAAAGCCCGAGATCTATGCCAACGTGTACAGTGAAAAGCCCATTCGCGTGGCCCAAAAAGTGTTGTTCCCCATCAAGGAGTACCCCAAGTTCAATTTCGTTGGCAAGATCCTGGGCCCCAAGGGCAACACACTGCGCCAGCTGCAGGAGGAGACTATGTGCAAAATGGTGGTGATGGGTCGCAACTCGATGCGCGACCACGGTAAGGAGGAGGAGCTTCGCAGCTCCGGAAATCCAAAGTACGCCCATCTCAGTCGCGACTTGCACGTGGAGATATCCACGGTGGCCCCACCAGCGGAGGCCTATCACAGGATCAGCTATGCGCTGGGCGAGATCCGCAAGTTTATGATACCCGATGCCAACGACGACATTCGATTGGAGCAACTACGCGAGATGGACGGCAAGGAGCGCATGTACAAAAAGTCTCACCACTATTCCAAGTCCTATGGCGATCATGGCGCCTACAGTTCCCGGTAGGTTTGCCCATTTTTGTTGATTTTTAATTGGTAATTGAGGAAATCCTTTCTGCATAGCACCCCGCCTCCTGCTTCTTCGAAGCCTAAAGTCTATTCAATTCTGGAGAAGGCACGATATGTGATGGACGATCCCAACTATGGGATCGTAAAGACGCACAGGTTAGATAAGTTCAATGATGCCTTACAAAGCCTTTACATAACAAGATATTGAGTTTTTAAATGATTAGATATTCAGATGCTCTAAATAGCTCTTTTCTGATATACCAAACCTTTTATAATCCAATACTTTTTCATCAGATCACGGGACCACGAGCTTTACGACCACCATGGAGAATATGATCGCTATGCCACACCGCCGCCACAGACATCGAAGCACTCGACCCACCACGCCCAGTATGACAGTAGCTCCTACGAGCGCGACTATAGGCGTGAGTATCACCCCCACTCGTCCTCCTCTTCCTACGCGGCGGCCTATCCAGGTAAGATATCTAGGTTGTTAGACCAATAATCTCTTCCCCTCAGCAGGCATGTAAAACTGAACAAAATGAAAAAAGAAAAAGAATACGACAAATAGTAATGTAAACGTTTTAACTCAAATCGCGCAAATCAAGAAAAAACTCGAACGCAAAACAAAATCTATCCAACTAAGCGACGATAAATTGAAAACGCAGAAAAAAACAGAAACCGCCACAAAGCCGCGTACCAAAATTATAAAAAAGCAGCAACCCATCCCATTTTAACAAGATTTTAAATGCACTATGCCTGAATAGAGGCCAAATCAACTAAACCGAACAGCGACAAGTAAATCCATCTTCATTAATTGGACGACTACTAACATACTCACAAGAAGCCAGAGCCAAAAGTATAAAAACAATCGACCAAACAACAATCAAATTACTTAAATTCACACTTTGAAAACAAAACCATAAAACTTCATGACGAGAAACCCAAAAAATTTGAATATGCTTAAACTATAAAATCCAAACTGAAAGGTTTGTGGAAACAATTTTTTTTGAAACGTGAAAAATGCATTTTACTCAAACAATAACGTTTCGTAGGGTGTAGTGCATTCAAAACCGGTTAAACAATATATTTTTCTTTTTTTACAATGTATATACATATGTTAGGCAAAATAAAAACCAAAAACCAAAAACAGCACCACAGAGACAGAAACAATTTAAAATCTAAACAACAAATAAAATTCTTTCCAAAATAGCAAAACCAAGCAACGGTCGTTCATCATCGTCATATCGACCAACCACCTCGGGCTCGGGATCACATTCATCTGCTCACTACGAAACTGGATCCCGATCTCGAGAAAGCGTGCGATATCGCTCGGCTCCATATCCGAAAATACGTTAACCCATCGATTTTCCAAAACCCCAAGAAACCAACCCCAACAACAACTACAACAACTTCAACAACAACAACCACAACTAAACAAAGTTAAGCATAAAGAATAAAATATATTCCAACGAATTATCAAAATGTTTAAAGTCAACAATCCAACTATGCACACCTATTAAATATATATATCTAAACGAAAATCAAATAAAAAACGTAACTTTTTATTCCAATTGTTGTCCAACATTGAAATTGTGTTTTAAATTAAAACAAGAAACCATCAATGCAACAAGTTTTATCCTCGAAAAGATTGTAAAAATAAAACAAATACTTCAATCAACCTAATACTAGTTAAAGCCAATACGAAAAGAGAACTAAACACAAACAAAAAACCCCCAAAACAATTAATTTATCAATGCATAATGTTAGACTAAGCTTGCAAATATTGTTTCATAAGATAATGGAGATAAAACCAACATAAAAAGCAAAATATAAACCACAGATATATATATGCCCAACGACAAAGTAAGTATCGCCTGCGGACATAGTATGATTAACAACAAACCACACTATTCAGCAGTTAAATAAATTAACCAAATGCCGGCTTCGATACAAATTCCCCAGAGCAAAGAGTATTGTGAAACGTTAAACGTTGTCGTTTATAATTATGATTTCTTTTTTGTTTGTTTTCTTTGCGAATCAACAAATGTTTTACAACTTAAATATTATTTTTAACATAAAACCATTAGGACGTTTAGAACTGAATGTGTTTGCCGCTGAATATCCCTAAATAAAGAAAAGTATAATCGACGATTTCAGTTTCATTTTTGGGTTCTTCTTGTGCTTGGATGTTCAAAAGTTCATGGCTCCATCAAGGAACATCAAACTGTCCACAGCAGAAATGGCCATTTCCACGTCCCTCTTTTGTATAGTTTTCTTTTTGGACTGTGCCGTGTAGCTATATGATTCCCGGGACAACGAGGCTATGAATAGTTCAACTGCCTTGGCCACTATGAACACGGCTTCATTGTTGGCCATATGCAGATCCGGATCCAGTTTCATTATGTTGCGTATCCTGGCCAGCGGTAGTTGTGTCATCTTGGCTTCGTGATCAGAAGGTGCCTTGTTGCCATTCGTCACTGGAAGGAGAGCAGCCATAAAGATAAAATCCTAGCTGGATGCATTTAACTTACCTGGCCTATCTGCAATTGGTTCTGCTGGAGCTTCCGCCTCAGGACTTTCCGGGGCTTCCTCAGTGATATCCAAAGGCTCCTCTGTTTCCCCTAGCTCCTCCGCCTCAGTCTCCATGGCCTGCTGAAGCTCCAAGTCCTGTTCCTCAGAAAATTCATGCTCAAATAGGTCCTCGCTCGCCATTGTCGACGACAAAAATTGAAAACAAACTAGACCAATGCAATCCAAATACCATATTGTTAGAGATGGGTAGCAAACCAGCCGCCAAAAATATCGATATTGCACTGTCTGTACAATCGAAAGAGTGGTAGCTCTGCTAGCCCTTTCGCAAAATTCGTTAATAAACTGATTCGAGTTTTTTAAATAATCTATAATTGTATTGATTCCATTTCTTGAACGCCATATATTTTACAAACCTACATAGGAAAATTAAAAATCTAAATTTAAGCTATATTATTGCCTACTAACACTGAAAAGGTTGACAGTCCCGAAACTTCATACGTTTCAGAGCACTGCCACAATTTTAGTTCAGTGGTGTACATACCAATTTACAATCACTCAGCTTGAATTTTGCTCGAATTTTTCTTGTGATTTTTTGGTTAAAAGTGTCATGATAAAAATGGAAACCCCAAGCGAGTTTACTGAGAAGCAGCCACCTACCCACGACCACCAGCCTCGTCTGAACGAGGTGGCCCAAAAGTTTCTTGCCGATTTGGACGAGGAGCGCCAGCGTTTGTCCTCGGAGTTTCCACTATGCGCACTTCTAATCGACGAAGGTAAAGTCAAATCGGCCTTTTACAGGGTATTTTAATGGTACTAATCCCAACTCGCAGCTGTGGACCGTGTCTACTGCACTGGTCGTATTCCCGGCAAGGAGTTCTACGCGGACGTGTACAAGCAGAAGCCGATGAAGATTACCCAAAAGGTCTTCGTGCCCGTTAAGCAGTATCCCAAGGTGGGTCTTACACCATATGCGGTTCCCCCGTCCGCGAAATTAATACTTGTTCCATAGTTCAACTTCACTGGCAAGATCCTGGGGCCCAAGGGCAACTCGCTGCGCCGTCTTCAAGACGAGACCCAGTGCAAGATAGCCATTAAAGGTCGCAGTTCGATCCGCGATCGCAACAAAGAGGAGCAGCTGCGCAACACTGGCGACCCGAGATATGCCCATCTTCAGAAGGATCTCTTTCTGGAGGTCAGCACGGTGGCCACACCGGCGGAGTGCTATGCCCGCATAGCCTACGCCCTGGCCGAGATACGTAAGTATCTTATTCCAGACAAGAACGACGAGGTTTCGCATGAGCAGCTGCGCGAGCTGATGGAAATGGATCCCGAGGGGGCCAAGAGCATTCACGGGCCCAATCTGGAGGCATATAGGTAAGTGGGATGTTCTTCCCTGTTATGTATTCCATACATACTTAACAAGCAAGTTCAGCATGTGCTATACATATACTTATATATATATATATATATAGGGATTTAAATCAATGCATATTTTTCAGATCTGTCTTCGACAAGAAGTTTGGTGGCAGCAGCAATGGGGCTCCTAAGTACCTTAACCTAATTAAGCGAACTGCGGAAAATCCGCCCGAGTAAGTTAATTGTAAAGTATAATTTTGTATCATTTAATTACCCCACCAGGAGTAAAGGAGCTGAGAGTCCCAGCGTCGTAGAAATACCTTTAACCCTAGCCAACATGCGTTGCCCAGTAACTAACATTTCGATCTTTATAGAGTCGACGTGGAGGAGGTGGCCTATGAGTATGAACATCGTATGCCCCCCAAGCGTCCTACCACGGGCTATGAGTACAGCAAACGTAAGTGGAACCCAAGCATGCATTCTTATTTTCTTTCTTAGTGGCGGGGTCTATTCCACTCCGCCAGTTGTATGGGATGAACCTTTGATTAGAATCTTGGGTGTCAGTATCAAAACAAATAACAATGAATGAGCAAGATCTCGAATCAAACTATATAATCTCTGGAATGATTAATAATCGAACCACTTCCTATAGTAATTACACACACGCATAAACTACTACAAATAATAATAAACCAATTTTATAGCACGTCCATCAATAATACCGACAAACGCAGCGGCATATAAACGTCCATATCCGACTGACATGAAACGTATGCGCGAACCGCCCATCAAGTCCTATAAGCCCAATCCGTATAGCATACTCAAGAAATATAAATAATAGAGCTCCGGTTGATTTCGTCGCACACCGCTATAAATGAAAACTAAGGACGATGCTTACGATATAAAACCCATACTGAGAGCACCTTGAAAACACTTTAAACAAGAAGAAAGCAGCATTCAAAATGATGCAATCAATGAATAAACATTAACATTTATAAAAAGCGCACTGGCGCTATCAATTCCCACAAACATAATATTAATCTTAATTTAAAATTCGCATAAATATGTTATAACTGTTGGCATGCCTTTTCTGGACCATTTCAACAGATAATAAGTCTAATATATACTATTATGTTTAATTATAATTTACTGACCGTATTTTTCGATGAATTTCAAACATCTGTAATAAAATAAAACGCATTGAATGAATTTAATAAATACTCTGCAATCAGATCTAACTATGACCGCCCCTCATTTACAATCAATATATGCATTACATTCTTAAACGATTGTCTCAGTAGCAGTAGAACAAGGAGATATATCTAAAAAAATAAATTGGTAAAGAAATAAAACAGTAAGAACTTATCACATTGTTTAATAAAAAGCAACGAAATGAAGATCACACTCAGACATTTAAATGCGTTTAAAAATAAGTTAATAAACCATTCGAAATTTATAAATGAACAAGAAAGAACATTGAATAAACATATAAAGCGTTTGCATAACTAAAACATTTCAGGTTTTTTTTAAGCAAAGTACTCTTTATTTTAAAATCTGATGGGTAAGTAACTTAACTGTAACTGTAGTAAAATAATGTCGTACAGTAAGGTAAATAAATAAAGGCTTAAACCAAATGTCTGTTTATCATTGGTTGTATTTCCGTGGGTTTTTATTTAATATCTAACAAAGGTTTTCCGACTTTCAACTAACATTGATATTGCAAGGGCCTCCCGGTGAAGCTGGCTATCCAGATCTGTTTCCTTAGCTCCTTTTCATTAGGTTCTGTGGAGGACTTGTGCTCCTGGGCTTGTAATCGTTGCAGGATTCTGTGATAGACCACGTACGCAGTTTGGGGCTGCCCACAACGACTACTTCCGCAATGCTCTGAGGACTGTGGCTCCTCCACGTAAGTATCTTCGATTGAAAAAGGATTCTCGCTGAGTGGTATCATCTGAATGATTGGGATGTTGACTGACTGATTCCTCACAAAACTGATAGGCGAACACTAACCTCGGTTTTACGCTGGCGCTGATTTACTCCGAGCTGACTAGATGTGTGTCCTGGCCGCTAAGCAGTTGACGACTGAAGTGGAAGGTAAAGTTGTCGCTTGTGGCTTGTGCCACCACCATTAGCACCACCCTTAGGAGCCACCATATGGCTGCCAGGCCCTGCGCACGTTGCGGAATTCCTCCTCCCACTCCTGCACCGGGGTTGCAGCTGCAGTGAGCTCCTACAAGGACCTCAGCGCTTTGTTGTCCTGGTCGCGCGTGTGTTTTCCCCCTCCCACTGACAAAAAGCAAGCCACCGAATCCTGCCGGCCTGCATACTCGTGAGTGTGTAGGTAGACAGGGGTGGATTTCGTTTCGTTGAATGGATTCAGCTGGGTCTATAGCAGCTCTAGTTTATTTCAGTTTTACATTCGACAAAATTGCATACATTGTTTTTATGTACTCATAATCTGTTCACATATATTTATATATATAGTTTCCTTCACAATGATTCGGTAAGCCACTTGGTATCGCATTTTGTTCCGCTAAGTTAAAATCAATTATGTACTAATCTCTCGATTAAGCGCAATACTAAAGCAATCACACTAGGCTAATTCGATCCTATAGGTAGCGTATCTAAGTCCAAGTAATGGTTTACAAACAATATTACTTCAAAGGAGTCTAAAACATCGATATTGGAAGTAGGGGAAGCAGAGTTGGAAGTGTAATTTAAATAAACTATAGCTCGGGGAAGCTCGCTTCCCGGAAAAACTGTTTTCCGTATAATACAGTAACAAAGCAACACCTATCGCCAATTTGCCAAGCCATCGACGTAATCCGGGGGCTGCATCCCAATGTCAAGCTCATCTGTTGCGGTGCGCATCTCCAAACGTAATGCCGGTGGTGCAGATTTGTGGAGCGGTCTTGAACTCGGACTGCTTCAAAATCGGAAGGTCACTGCCAACTGGAGAGGGGCCAGAAAGAGGCCCAGCAGCCAGAGGCTAATGTCCCGTCCGTGAGCCGCCGAATCCTTGGCGGAGGAGGCGGTGTCCGCCGGTAGCGGAAGCACTGATGGAGTCGGTGTACTTGGCTGCCGGCCAAAGCGAATGGTAGCCTTGTGTCGCACTTTGTTCGGCAGCACCTCGCACTCGTAGTGCTCCTCCGTGGCATTGGATGCCAGGGGAACGGTCAGGGTGAACTGCTCGTCCAGGGCGAAAATGTGATTGAATATATTCATTCCGCTGGATAGCTGTACCTTCTCCTTGTACCACAGAACCACGTGGTGTGCAGCTTGAAAATAGGAAAAGAGGGGGAAAATCAATACTTGGCATGCAGTTTTCAGCAAAAGTTTAAGGGTACAGGAAATTTAATCATCACGTTCTCAAAAGTTCTTCCTACAAGCAACATGATTTACCCACTCACCATTATAATTTTTCACTGGACACTTCAACTTCGCGCTGGTCGAGTTCTGCGACACAGTGACAACCACCTCGCTGTGCTCGAAGTATGGCTCAGGGACTTGGGGATCAGCGGTGGCTTTGGCCAGATTGCCCGGAGCCCGCTGCTGGTCCTCCTCGTAGTCGTAGTCCTTGCTGGTGTCGCCTGCTGAGGGGGCAGTGACTGCTGCCCCGGCTCCTCCTGCGTTGCCGCCTTCAGCGGCTGATGAAGATTTGGCTGGGAGTGCCTCCGGCAAGGTCAGCACACCTGGAATAAATGGTAATTAGTCGGGCCGGGGCACCCGACACACACGCAGATTAAGCTACACGGATAAAAATGCTAACGATATCTGTTTGCGTTGTATCTTTTTCACGGATTAATATCAAAATCGATACATCGATGCCCCTGCATGCGGTTAAAAGGGTTATTTGTATGTCTGCGTCAGCTCTTTTTGCTCGTATAAATATAAATTCCACAAGGTTGAAACATAAATAATAGGTAATTTTCCTCCTGTGTACGCATTGAAAAGCACTCGAAAAGCTGCCGGCCCAGATTTCCGTGTTTGGCGATAGTTTCCAAGCCTAAGCCCCAAAGACGCGGAAGGCAACATAAAACCATTAACGAAATACGGATAACATGCCGCCAAGCCCCTTTTCCATATGAATTTTCCCAGGGAGCGTGTCAACGCCCATTCTGGAGTGATATGATGGTTACGACTCCAGTTGGAGGTCAGGTCACGGAATGGAATCCGAATCGGGAATACTCGGCATATGCAAGTATCTGGAACAGGTTGTATATGGATTTGGCTCAAGGATGTGGGTACAGCGCCTTGGTTGCGTCATTTGCACATTCAACGCAGTGCTTAATGGCTGCGAAAATTGCCAATTTGCCATATAAAATTCGTGGGTTTATGTGTTCGTTGGCCGGGGGGAGTGTGTGTGCCAAAGTTATTAGTTTTGTTTGCACTCTCGTTAGGAAAAATTGAAAGACATTGGCAGACAAGTTGGGACACCTTTCTTAGCCTTGGCTCAGTTGGTGTCCCGTCTTGTTTGCCCGGAAAATGCGATTTGGGTCAGCGGAAAATGGGGATGATTTTATCTTCCCAAATAATAAAGGCAGTATGGATCAAGTTTAATTTATTGCCAGCGGACTCAGTGGGTGTCTTTAAGCATTTTGGTGCCCAGAAGTATGCTATTAAAATATTGAAATTCCCGAATTTAAGCTATAGCGGATATCTTACTATATTTTACAATACACTAAGCTGAGGTCAAGGTACCGTAAGTCCTGATATTTGTACATTTTCAGGAATTTTCAGGGTCAAGTGTAGAAAGTTAAGGCCCATCCGTTTATGGGAATCTGCCAACTCATGTGGCAAGCCCATCCAATCCCACGCTTCTGTTGTCCTCCCCGTATAAGTAATATCGATAAGCCGGACACAATGCCGCGGAAAGCACGCATGATACGGCAATTACCTCGCCACATTCTCATCCCTTTGACAGCTCATCATCTATGCCCCATGTACCAGAGATACCCGGACCCACTCCCAGTTGCTTAATTATTCAAGAGCCACTTTAATCATGTTGATATTTTTAACAATGTGCTCATTCCAACTCAAACCATACCCCGGCCACCCATTTCATTTACTGTTCCACTAATTTCTCTGTTCGGAAGCACTGAACAATGCTCATACACGCACAGAAAAGTTTGCTTAAAGCAACATGATAAATTGGTAAACTCTTCTCCAAGAAATTGGTAAGCAACTTGAAATTGGTAAGCTCTTCTGGACCATCCAGCGAACGTATTTAAGTATTTAGGCCATTGCCAAAAAGATAAATTGCAAATTGGAAAAATATAACTTTTGCCCCGTATGGGCGAGAGTTTTTCTCCCTGTGGATAATCATCGCGCGTTGGGAAGACATGCCCTGCTTACAAGTGGTTCCCAAATTGTCGTCAATTCAATGAATGACACACGTTCTTCCAACCCACTTTTCCCTCCCCCTGCCACTCCCCACTCCCCACCGCTTCCCCCTCACACCCTTCCACAACTCCCAGCGACGTTTAAGGAAAACTTTGCCAAACGTGTGGCGACCCTATGAAGTACTTCTGCTTTAATAGATTCGGTGGGCAGACAAGTGTTTTATGGAGTTTGGAGCCAGCTCCTTTTGGGGATGGCGCAAATGCAACCTCCGGTGAATAACTAACCATTTGATTAATTTTGATATGTTTGATGAGGCAATCCTATATCATGGCACGATGAGTAATCTTTGTGATTCACTTAATATTTGGGGTAACCTGGGGATACTAATTCCGGATAACTTGTTTACGAATAACTTAATGCTTCACAACAGTTCCCTTACTTTCAAATGGAAGTTCTTTTACTTTGAATAACTCGAACGATATTGTGGCATATGTTTTATTTACTAGTCACACTTTAAAATAACACACACACTTTTGGTTAAGATGTGCCCTATTTGGTCAGTGGAAAAACGGGGTAAGTGCAGTGTAATCCATCGATTACTTAAGCGCCCGCAACCCACACACAAGCACGAGGCAAATGTCTATCCCCAGGATTATAATCTCTAGATTATGCAAATTAGCGTGGATGAGTGGGTTACGAGGAGCAGCAGACAAACAAGAAAATCACAAGTATTTCTTTGGTGGCTGGATGATATAAAGCCATTGGAGGGCCCTTCATTTTTATGGAGCCCGCATATGTAAATGGTGCCGAAAAATCCACTGCCCATAAAGATTACAAAATTGAGTCGAAATTGATTTGTCTTTCATTATGGAGCACTGTATGCGGCAAAAGATGTGAGGGATGCACCGGATTTACCTGGGAACTGGACAGATCCACAGGCGATAAGAAGGAGCAGCCAGAGATGCCTCATTTCAGTCGTTCGCTGTTAGCTGATTGAGGGTATGCCAATATCCACTCCTCGAAATCCTTTGCACTTTTCTCAATTTTTCTTATGTGACTGCAAACCAGTTTGCCTTTTGCCACCTTTGAGGATAAACGGCGACCGAGACACTGAACTTTTTGTTTTGTCACCAGCGTTTTTGTGACTTCTGAGCACTTTGCGTGGGCTGTCGTTATCGTGTCTGTTGTTCGCCGAGGACTGCCAGTAAGGAATATGGACTGCGATTGCGAATGCCGATGGAGGGATATTCAGGTACAGTGGTGCGTCGAAAAACGACTTGTGCATAATTCGCAACGTTAAACCTAAGACAATAACAGCTTTCAGCAAGGCTTTCTTAATTATGATAACAAGTTTTCCAAACAGCTCAGCCAATTACACCTTCAAGTGCGTCCAGCATGAGACTTCCGAGTTAGCGAAGCTCTGCTGTATATTTTCGTGCTTCAAAGTAGGTGAAAAGAAGGAAAAAGGAAGGCAGCAGCGCGCCAGCATAATAGCCGAATCCGAAGCCGAATGCGAGTGCGAATAACTGAACAACCGAAGCCGGCGAAGGAGAGCAGGATGAGTCATGTTGCACAGTCGCACAGGAGGAGTGCCCAATTGGAAACGCTGCACCACAAAATACCAATTTCCCACTAGCCAGGAGAGGGAGAGAGTGAGAGAGACAGCGAGCCTAGGTCAATACCGTTTCCACTTTCCAGCATTCCCTTGCAGTTGGTGCATTCTACCCATCCCACTCCCACCCGCTGCAGCTGGCCGTGGCCGCGTTGCCAA